ACAAGAACTTTTTTCTAAAAACTATAAAACATTGCAAAAACAAATTAATAGACTTAAAAATTGCGATATAAACTATTTTCATGTAATGAAAACATCATCAAGTTAAGAAACTAAATGTTTGATTTTGAGTTTATTTTTGTGTATGGCTTAAGAAAGTGGTCCAGTTTCATTCTTCTGCATGTGGCTGCCCAATTTTCCCAACACATTTGTTGAGAAGACTGTCTTTTATCCATTGGATATTCTTTCTTGCTTTGTTGAAGATTAATTGACCACATAGTTGTGGGTTCATTTCTGGGTTTTCTATTCTGTTCCATTAATCTATATGTCTATTTTTGTGCCAGTAACAAACTGTCTTGATCATTACAGCTTTGTAATATAACTTGAAGTCAGGAATTGTGATGTCTCCAGCTTTGCTTCTCTTTTTCAAGGTTGCTTTTGCTATTTGGGGTCTTTCGTGGTTCCATACAAATTTTAGGATTGTTTGTTCTAGCTCTGTGAAAAATGCTATGGGTATTTTGATAAGAATTGCATTAAATCTGTAGATTGCTTTGAGTAATATAGACATTTCTATATACCAATTCTAAATGTGAGACAGGAAACCATTAAAATCCTAGAGGAGAACACAGGGAGTAACCTCTATGACATCAGCTGTAGCAACTTCTTACTAGATATGTCTCCTGAGGGAAGGGAAACAAAAGCAAAAATAAACTATTGGGACTTCATCAAAATAAAAAGCTTCTGCATAGGGAAGGAAACAATCAACAAAACTAAAAGGTAACCTTTGGAATAGGAGAGAATATTTGCAAATGACATGTCAGATAAAGGGTTAGCATCCAAAATATATAAAGAACTTATAAGACTCAACACCCGAAAAGACAAATAATCCAGTTAACAAATTGGCAAAAGACATGAATACATATTTTTCCAAAGACACATAAAAACATGCTCAACACCACTCATCATCAGGGAAATGCAAATCAAAACTACAATGAGATATCACCTCACACCTGCCAGGACAGCTAAAATTAACAACACAGGAAACAAGAGGTGTTGGCAAGGAACCCTCTTGCACTGTTGGTGGGAACGCAAACTGGTGCAGCCACTCTGAAAAATGGTATGGAGTTTTCTCAAAAAGTTAAAAATAGAACTATCTTATGATCCAGCAATTACACTATGAGATATTTACCCAAAGAACATAAAAATACTAATTCAAAGGGATACATGCTCCCTGATTATCAATAAATAGACAAATTATGGAAAGAGCCCAAATGCTGATTGACTGATGAACGGATAAAGAAGATGTGGTAGATAGAGGAGATAGATGATAGATAGATGATGATCGATAGATAGATGATAGATGATAGATAGATGATAGATAGAAATATATACAATGGAATATTTCTCAGCCATGAAAAAGAATGAAATCTTGCCACGTACAATGACATGGATGGAGCTAGAGACTATTATGCTAAGCAAAATAAGTCTGTCAGAGAAATATGATATCAACAAACAAAACAATCATGGGTGGGGGGAGAGAGAAAACCAAGAAACAGACTCTTAACTATACAGAACAAACTGTTACCAAAGGAGAAGTGGATGTGGGGAGGGGTTAAATTAACTCAAAATAGATCATAGATTTAAATGTAAAATGCAAAAATATAAAACTTCTAAAAGATAAAATAGGAGAAAATCTAGACTACATTAGGTTTGAAGATGACTTTTAGATACAACAAAAGCACAATCTATGAAAGAAAACATGAATAATTTCAATTTCATTAAAATTAAGAACTTCCATTCTACAAAAGGTACCATTAGGAGAATGAAAAGAGAATCCACAGACTGAGAGAAAATCTTTGTAATTATCTGACAAAGGGCTTATGTCCACAATATACAAAGAACACTTAAAACTCAACAATAAAGCAAATAACCCAATTAAAAATGGGTAAAATATCTGAACAAATACCTCACCAAAGATGGCAAAAAAAATATGAAAAAAAATTCTCAACATCAGATATTACAAATTAAAACAATGAGATACCACTAAACAACTTTTAGAATGGCTAAAATCCAAAATTCTGACAACACCAAATGTTAACAAAGGTATAGAGCAACAGGAATTCTCCTTCTCATTGTTGGTAAGAAAACAAAATGATGCAGCCCCTTTGCAAAACAGTTTGGCAGTTTCTTACAAAACTAAACATACATTTACTATATGACCCAGCAATTGCATTCCTTGGTATTTACCCAAATCAGTTGAAAACATGTCTACACGAAAAACCTAAGTTTGCAGCAGCTTTTCTGTAATTGCAAAAAATTAGAAGCAACCAAGATGTCTTTCAATAAATAAATTGATTAAACAAACTATGATACATCCACACAATGGATTATTATTTAGTAATAAAAAGAAATTAGCTATAAAACCCAAAAATCATTAACCAGGAAACTTAAATACATATTGCTAAGTAAAAGAAAGACTGTATGAATCCAAATAGATAACATTCTTGGAAGGGCAATACTACAGAGATATCAAAAAGATCAATGATTGCCAAGGAATCAGATGGATGGAGGGACAAATGAATTGATAGAACATGGAATTCAGAACAGTGAAACTCTTCTGTATGATACTATAATGGTAGATACATGACATTACACATTTCTCAAAACCTATAGAACTCTATTGCACAAAGATTGAACCCTGTTTAAACTATGGAGTTTAGGTAATAATATATCAATATTGGTTCATCAATTTTAACATAGGTAGCATGTTAATGCAAAAATATTAAAACTTTGTGCAGGGAGTAGGAGGCAGAGAATGGGATATATGGGAACTCTGTACTTCCTGTTCAATTTTTCTATAAACCTAAAACTGCTGTAAAAAAAATTAATTCCATGGGTGGCTCAGTCAGTTAAGCATCTGCCTTTGGCGCAGGTCATGATCCCAGGGTCCTGGGATCGAGCTCCACATCGGGCCCCCTGCTCAGTGGGGAGCCTGCTTCTCCCCCTGCCTGCCACTACCCCTGCTTGTGCACTCTCACTCTCTCTCTCTCTCTCTCTCTGACAAATAAATAAATAAATAATTTTTTAAAAAAAAGTTAATTCCACTAATTATGAAATGAAGCAACATCAAAATTAAATAGTGGTATAAAAACAGAGTGGAATACAAAGGTAGCTTTTGTCTTGTTGATTAGGCTATGGTATCAAATAGAATTTAGAGAATGGGAAGAGAAGAGAATAAAGTTTGTCTGGATTAGATAAAAAAAAAAAGGGTACTTTTAACAGAAAAAGAGTGTATACAAGTAAAACTGAACAATATTGAGACAGTAGATCTATACCAAAGGAGCCCAGGGACTGAGGCAGCTGCCATGGAAAAGATAGTTCATGGATACAGAGAATAGACTGGTGGCTCCCACACATAGGGGGTGGAGGTGGGGTGGGCAAAATGGGTGACAGAGGTCAAAAGATACAAACTCCCAGTTATAAAATAAGTAAGTCATGGAATGTAATGTACATACAGGATGGCATCTATAGTTAGTAATGCTATATTGCATCTTTGAAAGTTGCTAAGAGAGTAGACCTTAAAAGTTCTCATCACAAGAAAAAAATTCTTGTATGGTGTGGTGATAGATGTTAACTAGACTTATTGTGATGATCATTTTGCAATATATACAAATATCATACACTTGAAATTAATGTAATGTATGTCAATTATACCTCAATTAAATGAATGAAGAAAGAGACAGAAAGTAATAGACAAAAAGAAGAAAATATTTTTAAATCATCACTAACATCTCTACTATATTTTATTCTTTTGGCTTGGTTGGAGGATATGTTCCATCAGCCCATATGTGGGCATAAAGACTTCTGGTTTTGTCCATGATAGAGCATCAGGGACTAGAATTATCCTTTCACTTTAAGTCAATTAAAATCTGGATGAAATTATGTGAAAAAGCAATATTCAGACATTGGAAAACAAAAGGTGCAAGACAGTAATCTCTGACAGAAGGAAAAGAAAGAAACAGAGCCCTTTGATGACCCCATCTTACTTCCTGAAGTTTCCAGGCCACAGCAAAAGGAAGGGGGACCCAAACAGAGTCTACTGTTCTCCTGGAGTTCAGAGACAAAGTTTAGAGTTTTGGAAGCCCAAAGAAGCTAGAATTCAAAGGGCTCAGCATTAGAGAGAAGGCAGGTACATAGATAGAGAGAGAGCTCCGTAGATGTGCAGAGGGTTTCCTTTGAGGTAGAAAGAAGTTTTCACTATCCACTCCAAAGCTCTAGATATCTTTGTCTCCATCTAGTCATTCAGGACTCTCTTGGATCAAAGATGTTTACAGAACTTGGGAGTGCTGTGGCATCAACCTGCCCTTGGCTTAAATATGGCAACATTAGGGTTTAAAGCTGAAGTTGAAAGAGGACAGGATTCCCATCAACCTTTTCCAACCAAATCTTATTTTCCACTTCTAAACTGTATTCTATAATATACATTACATGATTGCTTCAAAATTCTTTCCAGTACTAAGACATAAACAAGTTAATTTCTCCTTTCTGTTGATAAGTAGTCCGAAGTTTAACACACTACTTCTAGCAGCTCTTCATATTCATGAACTGACAGGTACTCAGCTGTTGTCACAGAATTAGTGCATATGAGATGACCTATAAGTCATAGAAAAAAAAATCTGCAAATGACCTCTTAAATTTATCACTGTTCATCTCAAAGTCCTAGCACTCCTGAAACATTTCAGTAGCATATTCCAGTCAAAACTAAAAATCCTTCAATCCAAGTGATAGCAAGATACTCCTCAAAAATTAGTCTATTTTTTGTAGCATGTAGCCTTGACTAGGAATTTCAATACTTGCTTGATAGCCTGCTCAACTGTATGGCTCCAAACCCGAAGGAATCTATGTTATTACCATAATAATAACCTTAAATTATAGAAAATTATAAAAATTAATTCATTTGACATGTTATTCACACAATAATGCTTAAACGAGTAGAAACTTACGTGGATCAGTTGCAGAAACATCTATAAATTCTTCAGTTGAGTGGGTTTTTATGAATTCTGAAATAATAGTAAGTTTGTCATATGTTTCAAATATCAATTATATGTATTGAGTTTAAATTTCATAGTTTTTTTTTAAATAACTCATTAAAGAGAAAGAAAACTCTAAGAAAAACAACAGAGCCGTCCACACTGGAGAGCCGCCCAGTCAGGCAACAAATGGTAATATCTGAATGAATGTATATAAACTAAGTGGTAAGAACTCATCATTTTCTCAACAACACTTATTTTTCCTCTTCTATTCTCTTAATATTACCATGATTTAATCTCCCTTCCTTTCATATCCAGTCACCAAGTTTTGCCCATTTTACCAGTAAATTTTCTCAAATCTGCCCCTTTTCTTCTTATTTGTGCTCTAATGTAAGCACTTATCACACACCTAAAACAGAGCAATAACTTCCCTTTCCTATTCCTAATCCCCAAATGTAGCTTCTACAAATGGCCAGAATAATCTGTCTACAATTGAATCCAATGCCACCTCCCTACAAAAAGTCTTCAGTGTTTCCCTAATATGAAAACAAAATTCCTCAGCACACCATCCAATCCCTCTGATTGGCCCTTTCTTACCATATCCCTACTTATTGCTGCACATTCTAATACCGTTCTACTTGTAATTTCCTACTCATGCTGTTTGTCCATGCTACATCCTCTTTGTAAAATAGCAGATATTTCCCTTCTTCACTTGACTAAATTTTATTCATCCTTTAAGGTTGCGTAAAATCTTCCCAACTTCCTTGGGTTGAACAAATTGGCTCTCTGTGGACTCACTGCAAATTACACATAAATTTTACCATGTGTTACACTATATATTAAAGTGATGCATAATGTGCTTGTGTCCTTACTAAGTTATGTATTTTATGGTGGCTAACAACCACGGTTTATTTGTTTTGTTCAACTCCCAGAATCTGAAACATAAGAACTTTTATTGAAAATATCAAACTCACTACTGAATATCTTTTTAAATTTGCTATTGTATAATTTTATGGCTATAAATTTTTAAACTGTAAGTCTCAAAATGTTAATGTAATGTAGAAAACCCTATAAATGCTAAACATGTATAAAATATTATCACCTTCAATTATCTGCTGTACAGCTTCGTAACTATGTACTGCTCCTGGTGAATTTTCACTATCCCTGTTAAAATTTTAATAAGTACAACATTTATTTATTATCAAAGAATAAGAGTTAAGAAATAGAATATATGCTCTAGATATATGTAGTTTATAAAATAAAATTTAACATAATCTTTAACCTTTATTCAGACACTAAGGTAAATCAGTATAATTGCAAGCAAATAAGTATAAAAGTCACACTATGTAATTCTATGAATGCTATTTATTCCATGAATATAATTAGGTATACCAACAATATTAACAACAAAAACAGCAAAAGTAAATTGGGGTAGAAGCATGAGATTTAATAGTGTAATTGTTAAGAACACAAGTTCTAGAGTCAAACTGCTTGGCTCAAAACTTGTTTTACGCACTTTACTAATTTATGATTTGGGGTAAGTTACTTAACCCCTCTGACTTACAGTTTCTTCATCTATTAAAATTCGGGTATTAGAGTACATATCTCATAAGTAGTGGTAAAGATCCAATACATGTAAAGTTGCGAGGAAAATACCTGTACACATCAGACACTTAAATTTCAGGTATTACTATTAATATATGGTCTGAAACTAATTTTGTGCCTCACAATAGATAACTCGAGTGACTCTATCTGAGCCTCTGAACAAAGGTTCCAGTTACGTAGTGCTTACTGGAGCCAACTCAAGCGCCACGCGTTTCATTCCTTTAAATCTAGTCATTGACAGAGATATAAATAAAGTAATTGCATAATAAACAGTAGTCCCTCCCAATTATTCTAACACTGTAAAATAAATGGGTTTAGTATATGTCTAATGCAAAAAAAATGGCTATATGTAAATTTTTACTTAGATAAGTTACTATACCAGATATAGTTGGCAATAACAGAATAATAGGGGAACAAATGAGTTTATTTAATTCAGATACTCATAAAGTTACACATATTTATTTACTGTCTATATGTGATAGGAAATATGTAGATGTGTGTGACTAGTTCTGAACTTGAGGAAACAGTCTTACCAGGAAGACTTACACATAAATCATTAATTCATAATACAAAATTACTAGGTACAGGCATACATTATTTTATTGTGTTTCACTTTACTGCACTTCAAAGACTGCATCTATTACAAATCGGTTTGTGGCAACCCTGCTTACAGAAAGTCTATCAATGTCATTTTTCCAACAGCATCTGTTCACCTTGTGTCTCTGTGTCATATTTTGGTACTTCTCACTATATTTTAAGGTTTTCATTATTATTATATATTGTTAAGGCTATCTGTGATCACTGATCTTTGATGTTCCTATTGGGATTGTTTGGGGGTACCATAAACCATGCTCATATATGGCAGCAAATTTAACAAGAGCTGTTGTGTGTGTTCCGACTGCTCCAACTCGCCTATCCCCCACCTCTTTCCCTCTCCTTGGGCCTTCCTATTCCCTGAGACACAACAGTACCGACATTAGGCCAGTTAATAACTTTATAATGGCCTCTCAGTGTTCAAGCTAAAGGAAGAGTCTCATGTCTCTCACTTTAAAATAAAAACTAGAAATGATTAAGGTTAGTGAGGAAAGTACATCAAAAACCAAGACAGGCTGAAAGCTAGACCTCTTTCACCAGTTATCCAAGTTCTTAATGCAAAGGAAATTAAAAGTAGTACTCCAGTGAATACACAAATGATAAGAAAGCAAAATAGTTTTATTGCTGATCCAGAGAAACTTTCACCGGTCTGGATAGATCAAACCAGCCATATTATTCACTTAAGCCAAAGCATAATTCAGAGCAAAGCCCTAACTCTTCAATTCTATGAATGCTGAGAAAGGTAAGGAAGCTTCAGAAGAAAAGTCTGGAACTAAAAGAGGTTGGTACATGAGATCTAAGGAAAAGAAACCATCTGCATAACATAAAAGCACCAGGTGAAGCAGTATGTGCTCATGCAGAAGCTGCGGCAACTTACCCAGATTTAGCTAAGATAATTAATGAAGGTGGCTACATTAAATGACAGATTTTCAATGTAGACAAAACAGTCTTTTATTGGAAGAAGATGGCGCCTAGTACTTTCATAGCTAGAGAGAATCAATGCCTGGCTTCAAAGCTTCAAACAGCCTGATTCTCTTGTTAGGGGCTAATGCAGATGGTGACTTCAAGCTAAGCCAATGCTCATTTACCATTTTGAAATCCTCGGTCCCCTAAGAATTATGCTAGAGAGGTTGGAAGATGACGGCAGAGTAGGAGAACCCTAGGTTCAGCTGGTCCCATGAATACAAATAGATAACAATCAAATCATCCTAAATACCCCAGAAATCAACCAGAAGACTGGTAGAACAAACTATAGCCAAATGTAGAGCAGAGGTCACATCAAAGAAGGTAGGAAGTAAGGAGATACGGTTTGGGAGAAACACGGATTATGGCCCTGTGGTGGGTAGGGAGCTGCAGTCATAGAGAAGGGCAAGAGACAGACTAGAGCTCACACGGAAGATGAATCCCAATAGCAATTGCCTTGAAAAGCAATAGGGTCTGAATTTCGTGAATTCTTGCAACCAGTGGGGCTTGAAGCCTGGAATTTTAAAGATCAATGGGTTTGGCTGGGAGAGACCCTGGAGGGCACTGGGGTTACTCTTGGAGAAAAGGCAGGATAAACAGCCTGTGAACCTACAGCATGGAAACAGTGATCTGAAGAATGCCTGGAGCACACAGTGGGGAGGTTATCTGCTCATCTCCCACCATGTCCCAGACAGGCAGTGTTCACAGAGAGACCCCTCCGGAACAAAAGAACTCGCAGGCACCATGTCCAAAACCTTCGGGATACTGGGGAAACAGTTCTAAGAGGCAAGTTTATAAAGACCAACCTCAACAAAAAAAATCTCAAATAAACAACCTAACCTTACATCTACAGGAGCTAGAAAAAGAACAAAACCCAAAACCAGCAGAAGGAAGGAAATAATAAAAATTAGAGCAGAAATAAATGATACCAAAACTTGAGTCTCTGAGAATCCAGACCCTGATGCTGAAGCTCGCTCCATCTCAGGACTGTGACTGTGATCTCCAAGATTTGGACCACATATCTTCAAGTTTCCACCTTGATCCAGACATCATTAACACTGTCCCTCTGTTTTTTGTTTGTTTGTTTGTTTGTTTGTTTGTTTTAAGATTTTAATTATTTGAGACAGAGAAAGCAGGAGCAGGGGGAGGAATTGAGGGAGAGGGAGAGGGGAGCTGACTCCCCTGCTATGCATGGAGCCCCAGCGGGGCTGATCCCAGGACCCTGAAATTATGATCTAAGCCAAGGTCAGATACTTAACCAACTGAGCCAATCAGGCACCCTGTTCCCCTGGTTCTTGACCCAGTGTGCACCTCGGCCCCACCAAAGCCCCAGACCTGACCCCCTCTCATTCAGGCTCACTCCTACACCCAAGGTCCTGGCCACTAGCCCCGTGGTGCTCCCTGCACCTGCCAGCCCTCTCCAACCCTTCTCCTGACCGGATTATGGTCGAGCCTTCTGCCGCTGCTCTGGACTGAGCCAGCACAGCCACACCCACAGTGGCAAGAAGCCAGACTGCTGCCTGACTTGCAGTAAGTCGTCCGGCCATCGCGCCGCGCTGGCACAGCACCGCGGCATCCACACCGGCCGGTGGCCCGACCCGAACGCCATCTGCAGCAAAGCCTTCAGTTGGCACTCCACACTGCTGAAGCACTGTGGCGGCCCCAGCCCCAAGAAGCCGCAGCACGGCCCTGTATGTGTCAAGGCATTCGGCGAGGCTTGCAGCTAGCGCGGCACCTGCGCATGCACAGCAGCCTTCGGGCGTGCAAGTGCCCAGTGTGCACCAACGGCTCAGGCAGGGCTCAGCGCTGTTGAAGCACCTGCGAGTGCACACCCGCGAGCGGCCATTCCCATGCCTGCAATGCGGCAAGGCCTCCGGCCGGAGCTCAACACCTTGGTAACACCAGTGCTTGGGCGCGCGCGCACGCGCGGGCGCACACACACACATAACACATACACACACGGACGCACGGCAGAGCGCCCCTACCGCTGTCCCCACTGCCACAAGGCCTTCGGCCCGAGCTCCAACTTGCTGCATCACCTGCGAATCCACACCGGCAAATGGTCCTATGCCTGTCCCCACTCTCCAAGGCCTTTGGTGCGAGAGCTCCTCCCTGCTGCAGCACCCGCATATGCATTCCGGGGTGTGGCCCCTACCGCTGTCAGCTCTGTGGCAAGGCTTTCTGACAAGCCTCCAGCCTCACCACGCACAAGTGGGTGTGTGAGGGTGCAGCTACAGCTGCCACCACAGGCCAGGGCCTCAACCCTGCTCCAGTGTTGAGGCCAGAGCGGGTCTCCCTCCTGGGTCCTGATGCTCTCTCTTCCTGCCTCTGTCCTGGGCCGCAGCCCTGAACCCAGCTCTGGCCTTGGTCCTGACCCTAACTCTGTGCAGGGCTCCCTCCCTAATCCCACTCCAAAGTTGTTTCTGGTTCTGAATCTACCCTCACTCCTGATTCTGTCATATCTTCTGACCCTAAGCCTTGTCACAAGGCCAATCCTGACTTGTGGCCAGGCTTGACCATGGATCTGGTCCCACCCCTATCAGGATCCTGTGCCCAGCCCCAACTCTGAGTCTCACCCTGAACCCTGCTCTCCCACCCATGACACTGTCAGTCCATCCCTCCCTACTGTCTAGAGTCCTGAGTGAGGGTAGGAGCAAGGGACACTGCTGGGGCCCCATGGCTGAAGTGGACTCCCAACACTACAGTGAGATATCGTATCACACCTGTTAGAATGGTTAAATTTAACAACACAAGGAACAACAGGTGTTGGTGAGGATGTGGAAAAAAAGGAACACTCTTGCACTGTAGGTGGAAATGCAAACTGGTGCAGCCATGGTAGAAGACAGTATGGAGGTTCATCAAAAAGTTAAAAATAGAACTATTCCATTATCCAGTAATCCCACTACTGGATATTTACCCAAAAAATATCAAAAAAATTCAAAAGGATACATACACACCAATGTTTATAGAGCATTATTTACAACAACCAAATTATGGAAGCAGCACAAGTATCCATCAACTGATGAATGGATAAAGAGAAGTGGTATATATGCACGGTGGAATATTACTCAGCCATCAAAAAGAATGAGATCTTGCCATTTGCAATAACATGGATGGAGCTAGAGAATATAATGCTAATTGAAATAAGTCACTTAGCAGAAAGACAAATACCATATGATTTCACTTACATGTGGATTAAAGAAACAAAACAAACAGGCAAATGTGGAAAAAAGAAGAGAGACAAACTAAGAAACAGATTCTTAATTATAGAGAACAAACTGATGGTTACCAGAGGGGAGGAGGATGGGAGGTTGGGTGACAGAGGTGATGGGATTAAGGCGTGCACCTGTTGTGATGAGCACCAGGTGATGTATCAACAATCCTGTGGAATCACTATACAATCACTAAATAAAAAATAAAATAACAAAAGTTGAGTAAATCAGAGACCTAATGTACAACATGGTGTTTACAGTTAACAATACTGTTGTATACTTGAAATTTGCTAAGAGAGTAGATCTGGAGTGATCTCACCACAAAAAAAAAAAATTTAAGACAGCTAAACCTCAAATATCAAAAGTGAGTGTCAATAGTTAATAGGAGTATCATTGTAATCATAATTTGAATCTTCCATCTGTCAAAAAAAAAGGCTTTTCTCAACTAAAAAATAGGAAATTATTCTTTGGAACATATCCCTGTCCCTTTGAAATTTTTAAAAAAGCTGTTCATAAACAATTATTTAATTATATCCTAGTTTCCTATTTATTATAGAAGCTACATAATCAAACTGAAAGATTTTAAACACAGATATTCAAAGCCAGCCATGTCCAATAGAACTTCCTAACAACAACCACATTGGTTACTAGGCATTTGAAATGTGGCTCATGTGACAGCAGAATTGATTTTTTAATTAAATTGAACTCAATTTTAAATTTAGTAGCCACACATGACTAGTGACTACTGATTGGACAGTGCCATTTCAAACTATTAAAAATTTCAAATAGGAGAAAGCTGACTAGACTATTTGATTTGATTTAGAAACTCTATGTACAGTATAATATCTGAACCATTATCTTACATGCATTACTAAGTATATACCAACTCATTGTTTTGAATTCTATTAACTCTTATATTTTACTTACTTGGCTTTAGACAATGTGGTCCTCGAGGAGTATTTAGACTGTTGTTTAAGGTGATTTTTCCGTGCTTCTATTTTTTGCACCTGTTTTACTACTTGTGCAATGTTTAAGGTTTTGTCAGGTGCTGGAAACTCTACCTCTAAAAAAGTTTGATCTTTACTTATCTAAAATGATAAAATTAGCCAGTTACTTAGGAAATACCCATTTGCTCCTATACCTCAAAGAAATGTCATCATTTACCATATTTAAATAATTTTTATAATACTCTTATCTATAGCTATAATCGAATACTGATATTTTATAAATATAATTTTATGAGTAATTACCTAGCAACAGAATGATAGCTAAGTGTTGACTTTTACATGTCAAAACTCAATCCAATCTTCTGTTTATTATCTAAATATGTAAGAATTTTAAGCAAGGTCAATAATAATTGAAACAGGATCAGTCTTACCTATGATAAATATGGAAAGACAGTAATTTGCTCTCAAAAGCAATACCTTCTACTACTAACTCCCAGAAGTTAATATATAAAAGTCTATGAAACTGGCACCCTTTGGTCTGTCTGGGAAAAACTGAGACCCATTTGGGTGTCTCAAGACTTTTAGAATAGACCAAGCTATAGAATAATGAGCAATCAGGAGAATCAGTAAGATCCACAGAATAATATGATAGACCATAACTGATATTCTAGGTATTAAGTCTGTTTAAAGAAAGCTGAGCAAGATGAGTGCCTCCCCGCTAACAAAAAAAAAAAAAAAAAAAAAGGCACAATGAAAGAAACACAGAAACAGCCAATATGTGTAGACATAAGCAGAGAAGCAACTGAGGTTAAAAAAAAAAAATTTTTTTTTTTTTTTTACAAAACAGCAGAGATCTACCTATGTATATATATACTTTCAACCCTAATGAGGGGAGTGGAAGTTAAAAAAAAAAAAAAAAGAAGAAGAAATAGTAGTCAAGACATAGACCTAAAACCTAGCAAAGAGAAATTCTAGCAATGGGATTTAAAAGAGACTTCATTTTAGTAATGCCTACTTGAAATGGAATTAGGATATAATAGCAGGAAGTATATACTGGGCAATGAACTACAAGTCTGAAATTGAGGGATGCAGAACAAGTGGAAGGGAAATAGGAGATGTATGGAAACTCTATGGACAAAGGCATGATCCCAAAAAGAGGACATAATTTGGTATATCAGATATATCGCCAAATGATAAATGGAGTCTAAAAGTGATGTAGCCAGTTATCAATTTATTGCCTCTCATCTAAAAATCCATTCTTCATTGTCCTGCTTATAACAGTGGAACAATTCTCTCTTGACAGGTATCATGTTAACCTTTATTGATAGAAGGTCCTAGACACTACAGAAAGAAGCAGCTTTCTTCCTAACTCTGTTACCTCTGTCTGCTTAATCCTAGGACACTGCATAATATACCTAGTAGAGCACACTCCAGAAAGTTTCAACAGCACCACCCCCATAGGTGTCTTCCTCACAAGGTCCCTGGCATGACTCATTCCCTTGGGCAGCTTCTCCCAGAACTTCTTAGCAAAATCTACCAGTGCAGAACCTCCCTCTGGGAAGCTTTCTAGCATACCACCCTTGTAGGCAGCAAGAGGTATAGTACCTCCCTGGAAGATGGCTTTTCCCAGCACCACAGAGGATGGCTTCCCAATGTACTGCCATCATGGGCAGTTTCCCAGTAAATCCTAGTTCCCACCAGCATGGCACCCCAGCAAACTTCTCTGCCACTCAGTGATGACAGCTGCTCCTTCTTCACAGGTGCAGACCTTAGCCCTGAGTGAGGAAGAGGGTAAGGATAGGGGTATTAAGATTTGTTCCTTCCTTAAGTGCTATGCTTCCATCCTATCATTAGAGGCTGCTCTTCATACTTTCTATCCCTGTATTCTTTACAGTTGTCTTTATCACTTATTCTCCTGTTATAATAATTCTTTATATTAAACTTTCCCTATTCAGATTACTGTGTAGTTTTTATCTTTTGATCAGTCCCTAACTGATACATTGTATTTCCCATTAGGAATTCAATTTAAACTTAAGTCCTTTCTGGGAGAAGAGATGATGTCACAGAACTAAAGGAATATGGAATATGGAATAGACAATGACATTATAGGCTATAAGATTTCATCAAAGAGACACACTGGGCACAGGTTCCAGCAGAACAACTCTGAAGCTCATAGGCTACATGCTTACCCTACATTTCTCTGCTATGGCTCACCATACATTATGAAGGCTTCCACATATATCTTGTTAATGCAACAAGAAAACAAGCATATAAACCTGCATGTACTAACAATAAAATGTGTCAGCAATAAATATGAGATTATTCCACAATTCTCAAATGTTAGTGTACATAATAATCCTCTAAAAATCCTATTAAAAAGTGGATTCCTAACCTATATACACACAAGAAAACTTAAATTCAGTAAGTCTGACTTGGAATTCTGAAATGTGCATTTGTAACAGGTATCTTGGGTGATATTTAAACATGATCCATCAAATATATTTTAAGAAACACTCATCAAAAGCCAGAAGATAATACACTTTGGCAATGTATCTGATACACCAAATTAAGCAATTATTCAAAAGAATTAATTATGGCTCTAAAAACTAAAAAATTTAGAATTCCAGATCAGAAATTTAGTTGTATACTGAAGATTCCTCTTGATGAACATAAATGCATAAATCAGGATTTCAGGAATACCAGAAATGATGGTAACTGGCCCTAAGATGTAAATAGATACAGAGAAAAATAGACACATATGACAGCTCTTTAGGTTATAAAATCAAAAGGGCTCAGGAATGTACTGAATATTAGGAAATTGAGTTGTCAAGGTAAATCACCACACTTCTGGTTTACCCAAATGAATAAATACTACTACCATTCACTGAGATAGGGAATACTGGAGGAGGTATAAGTTTAGGGGTAAAAAATTCTTGGTTTTGACTCTGGGTTTGAGGTGAAATAGTCTAGAGGAGTTCAGAGGACAGTTTTGAGCAAGAGGGGTATATTTCTAAATTACCAGTATAAAGGTAATACTTAAATAGAAAAACTGGTTGAGGTTGCCTACAGGGAGAAGCTCAGAGCAAAGAAAAAAAAGGAAGGCATAGAATGAAATCTCAAAGCATTCCAATATTTACTGGTTAGAAAAGGAAGATGTCTCTACAAAGGAAACAGCTAAAGAGGTAAAACAATAGCCAGGAAAGTGTAATTCACAAAAGCCAAAGAAATAGTGTTTTAAAAATGAGGAAATGATCAACAATGTCAACTATGGCTGAGGTAAAGAAAATTGCCTATTCAATTTAACAGTATAAAAATTGCAGAGAACCATACAGAATGTTTTCTTTGTTATGGAGAGAGAATCCAGTCTGGGTAGGCTGAGAATGCTTTGGAAATAAGAAGAATATATACAGTAAATTGATATCAAAAAAATTTAGTACTGAACCAGTAAAGTATGGCCCTTAGCTGAACTGTTAAATTTTTATAGAAAATCCATAGACAACTCCAACTGTTTTCATAACCCTAGTTGGCCCAGATTAACCTCCTCACTAAGTGCCAATTTACCAGTTAACAATTTTTTTTATAAAAAAAAACTCAACTAGTTTCATTGTTCCTAAACTGTCTGCAAGGCTTTTCTCTCCTCTCTTTTTAAAAATTTTTTTTAAAGATTTCATTTATTCATTTATTTGAGAGAGAGAGAGCAGGAGCAAGGGGAGGAGCAGAGGGACAGGGAGAAGCAGGTTCCCTGCTGAGTGCGGAGCTGGACAAGGGCTGGATCCCAGAACCCGGAGATCATCACCTGAGCCGAAGGCAGACACTTAATGAACTGAGTCACCCAGGTGCCCCTTCTCTCCTCTCTTTTATAAATCTTGGGTTTTGCCTTTATTCTCCAACAATAATCTAATAACTATTTTCCTCGTGAATAAATTTGCATACAAAATAGTTTTTAAAAGTTGGTTATGAACGGCAAAAGAGAAATAGGCCTGTAACTGTAGGGAATGTGGCATCAAATTAGAAAGATATGAGCATATTTAAAACCTGAAAGGAATGACACAATTGATTAGGAAAAGCTTAATATACAAGAATGATTAATCAAATTTCTTAAGATCCAAAACAAGAATGAGTTTTATGTAGGAAGAGGAATAATATCTGTTGAACAAGAGGAAAGGAGTGTAGAATGAGCATGGATATAAATAAGTTTTTATCTGATAGCAGATAATGAAGGAGTTCTAACTGGTGGCTTGTATTTTCAAGCATTTTAAGTGACTGGCTGACAGTGAAAATGAAAATGGGACAGAGGGAATGTGGGTTTGAGATGATAGATGAAAAGGATTGAAATTCATTTTGGAAATACAAAGGAATTGCCAGGCAGTATTTGGAATAATTATGTCTAATAACTGCGTCATTTCATCAGTGTTTCACAGCTAAGCTAAAGGCCCAAAGAGTAAATAATTGCATTTACTCAAGGTTAAATTTTGTTAGACAAGTGCAATGAAAAAAGCAAGAGGTAAAGGAGAGTAGGAAGTTAAGAAATTCACTGTTATTAAGTACATATTCTCTAAGCTGAAAAGAACAATGAGTAAAAAAACTACAGGAAGGTTAAGAAATGAATGCACTAGTGGTCTTGATAAAGTCAAAGAGTGACCAGAATAGTATTTAAATAATAACTGATAAGATAGAAATTTGTAGTTCAAGAATAAGTTGCCTGAATTAGTGATTTTTAAAATAAAGCAATTTGGTTAATGATAAGGTTTGGAGTATGACAAGTAGTGAGGTTCAAAGGTAAAGAAAGACACTAGTTCTTGGGAGATAAGTCAAGGAACTGAGAGGCTAGGATTTGGGATGGGTCTTCACATTGACAGGACTAAGAATTAAAAGAGGAAAGTGAGACAAATCCATGAATAAAACAGAATAAAAAGAAGTTGGTAGATGAAAGTAAGAAGGCAGAAGGTAAGCTAGACTGTTCAAATTGCAAAGTATGCATTTTACAAGAGGGGAGAACAGTGGACTTCACCTCAGTTCTCCATCTGTGGAAAGATAATGATCAATCTACCATAGTCAAAGAAGAACTACTAACACTCTTTCAACATCAACCATATCTATCCTAAAGCAAATAGTATACAGTCCATAAAAGTCTACTCTGGAGCCAAAGGTAAAATAATAAGAGGGTGCTAGGAGATAGTTACAATTTCTATCTTTACTTTTTAATTTTATATCCCAAATAAATGAACCTATTTAATTTAAAGTACCTGGGATTCAAAAGTGTCTAATTGGACTAAACCAGAGCATAACCAAGGGAGAACAAGAATCATTCGATAAATCACTGAGGCTACCCTAGAAATCATTCTGCTATATTAACAGCATAGTCTTTCCCAAAATAGAATTAAAAACCCTTAAGGTTAGAGACCACTAGCTTTCAAAATGGTCATAAAACATCTGAAAATCTAAAGTACAAAAAAGAAATCATTAAAATAACATTAAGTTTAAAGAAAACCGATATATAATTTTATAAGTAGATTATCATATTATACATGCTTTTTTAAATACAGGAGAAGTGTTTAAGTTGGTAAGTTTTCTCTTGTCACTTACTCTTCTATGTAAATTAGGAAAGAATGATAATTTAATTTTAGGAGAAAGAATGTGTCAAACTCAGAGAATTCCAGATACATGCAGGAATGTAGTGTGTAATCACTGAGAAACATTTTGTTCTACCCATTTGTTCCTTCTCTATCTAAATTAAAAGGTTATAAACAATGATTATTCAAAATTTTAATATCAATTTAATTCACAGTTAAGAAATGTTATACTTACCTCTTCCATCTGATTGACCTGTTGCTGAAACCACTTAAAAAAAAAAAAGGAATACTTATTGGCAAGTTATTCAAACATATAGGTACACGTGAACGCATTTGTGTGTGTGTGTGTGTGTGTGTGTGTGTGTGTGTGTGTTGTGTCTTCATCTATCACATGTTAGCCCTGAACCAAACATCATTATCCTAGGGTTCAGAATGGGGCTAATGCAACATACAACTCAAACATAACATTTTTAAATATGTATAGTAGCAAGTTTGGGAATTCTTTTTACTTCCTCAAAACTTAGAAACCTCTTCATTAATATGTATTTCTGTATTAAATGTTAGTAGGTTTAAACTGTAGTATATTGAACATACCTTAAAAAGAGATTCCAAAATCTGGAAGATAAAGTTTTAATTAAAACATTTAAAAAATAAAAATTCTTCATAGTGTGTGATGTAATAAGTCTCTATAATTCTCAGTCAGAAAAATTCACAAATTACTAAAACTATAACTCTATAACCCAAAATCATAATATGTTTATAATTACAGATATAGTTTTTAGTATATCTTGCATAGATAATTCTAGAAAAATTTCCATCTTTATAGATCTATATTAGGATACCCCAAAATAATTCACATATATGATTTCATATATTTTCTTAATATAGATAAGGAAAAAATTAAGATTCCTCTTGGAAGAGATTTTTTTTCATATAGCAGAGAATATAGTAATGAAAAGCATTATCATAAGCACATTATCTCCTCAATGAGACTTTGCTCTGATAACGGGCCTAAAAATCAAGATATAAAATATTATACTACTACTTGATATTTTTGATTGAAAATGCAAAGAACTGGTTTGGGAGATTGTGACAGAAATTGAATATCCAAAATGAATCATACAATCCAAAATACTAATATTTAACACTTAGAAAATGTAATGTTAAAAATGATTATGTTTGCCACACAAAATAAAAGCCCATTCTATCATATCCAGATAAGAGTTTTTAATCACTTTGTTAAAGAAAAATATTACTACATTCATTCAGGCAGTAAAAAAAAAGTTACTTAACTAAAAAATCAGGCTAGTCTAAAATTTCTCTTCTGTCACACTAACTCTAAATCAATAGTTCAAAAATTGTGGTCCCACAATCAAAAGCATCAGCATCACCTAAACAAAGATATTCATTGGCAATGTAAATTCCTAGGCCCTACCCCACTCAACTGAATCAAAAACTCTGGGAGTAGGGCCAGTAATTTGTGTTTTAACTAGCCCTCCAATTGATTCCACTGCATGCTAAAGTTTGAGAATCACTGTGCTAAGTAATAAGAAATCAGAAATCTAAGCAAAAAGGGCTGAGATAATCAAGAAAACATACCAAAGTAAATAAATATCCAAGACTGAAGGAAAATATTTTCAGCTACATAAGGATTTAGAAACTAATGTTCACTGAGGCATACTACCTTGTAATAAACTCATTCTTCCCACTATCAAAAGAGATTCCAAGGTTCTCAAAACCTCTTTTCCTATCTCAGAAGATGATGGGAAACCATCATATATCAATTCATCCACTCATTAGAGCCAGAGTTCAACAACTATTTAAACCACTAAAAGCCTGGAGAACAAAGGCTTTCTCAACTACTGAGATATCAGTTCTAGTAATGTTAAATCTAGAACATTATTGATAAAAGTGGAAACAGACCAGAAATGAGAAAATCAATTTTAGGCAAACACTAAATAGAAAGAGAAAATTCTATGAAAATATGGAAGAATATATATAAAGTTCCCCAGGAAAATATTAAACTTCCACTCTAATTTTAAAGATATTATCATGTAAGTGTGAAGCCAAGACAAAACTATTTTCAGAAATTCAAAGGCTCAGAAATGTTTTCACCACACATTCTAACCTAGCAAACAAAAACAAAATTTATTCTTAGAAAGTAAACACAAGAAAAAACTATAGGCAAGGTAACCAACAAATACCCTCCTCTTTTTGTTTCAACTTTTAATTTAAATTCCAACTAGTTAGCATATAGGGTGATATTAGTTTCATGAGTAGAATTCCGTGATTCATCGTTAACATATTACACCCAGTGCTCACCACAAGTGCCCTCCTTAATACCCAACACCCATTTAACCCATCCCCCTGCCCACCTCCCCTCCAGTAACTCTCAGTTTGTTCTCTACAGTTAAGAATCTGTTTTAAGGTTTACTTCTTTTTTCCCCCTATGTTCATCTGTTTCATTTCTTAAATTCCACATATGAGTAAAATCATATGGTATTTGTCTTTCTCTGACTCACTTATTTCACTTAACATAATACACTCTAGCTCCATCCACGTTGTTGCAAATGAAAAGATTTCATTATTTTTTATGACTGAGTAATATCCCATTGTGTATATATACCACAACTTCTTTATCCATTCATCAGGAAATGGACCTTTGGGCTCTTTCCATACTTTGGCTATTGTTGATAATGCTGCTGTAACATAAACATCAGGGTACATGTCTCCTCCCCTTTGGATTAATATTTTTTTAATTCTTTGAATAAATACCAAGGAGTGCAATTGTTAGATCGTAGGGTAGTTTTATTTTTAACTTTCTGAGGAACTTCCATACTGTTTTACAGAGAGGCTGTAATTCCACCAACAGTGTAGGAGAGTTCTCCTTTCTCCGCATCCTCACCATCTGTTGTTTCCTGTGTTGTTGATTTTAGACATTCTGACAGGTGTGAGGTGATATTCATTGTAGTTTTAATTTGTATTTCCCTGATGATGAGTGATGTTGAGCATTTTTTCATGTGTCTGTTAGCCATCTGAGTAAATACCCCACTCTTAAAAAAAATTGTGGCTAATGGGGCTGTCACTCAATGCCACTGTCATAAAAGACTTCCTAATGAGAAGATGGCATAATATTTTTTAAAGTGAAATAATAACCTGTAACCAAAATTCCAGATAGGCATATTGTGTCACTGAAGCCAAGAGAAGTCCTGAAAGACTGGCAGTTTTTGCCTTTGTTTTATCTAGCTCAAAACTCTCTCAAGGCAAAAAAACAAACAAAGCAAAATAAAAACAAAAGAACAAAAAACCCAGCTAAGTAGAGGGCATTCCTCAACATTGAAAGGCAAATAAACAAGCTACAGCTCCCTGAGAAAAATATTGCCTTTGTGGCAAATAATATACATGTCAACAGCCTAGAAGAAAAAGCTGGGTAAAGAGTTACTTTGGAAAATAAGGATTTTGAAAAGATCCCATATATAAGGGAGAATCTAGTAAGCCATACACTTACCCAGGCCAAGACTCATGCTCAGAAAAATATCTGAATGACCATTAAACTTCCACCTTTGGCTTATCTTTATCTCAGAGCAAGCAGAAAATGAAGGCTAACTCAAAATTTGTAAACAGCCTGGCTAAGCTTTGAAGGAGTGCCCCAACACAGAGCCAATCTTAAAGGAACAGGAAATTTTTTTCTCCTTTTCTTCTTTATTTATTTGTGTGTGTGTGTGTGTGTGTGTGTGTGTAGCTCAAGGCATTTAAGGAAATCTTTCTTAAATCCACCAGCTGACCACAAGCAACAGGAACAGAAGCCTGAGAGACAAAACACTTAATCAAGGAATATAGACTTTCAAAATAAATAGTTAGACTTCTGGTTTCCAATCCAGCATGCAAGGAGCCTGGATTAGTCACACTGTCCTAACAATAAAAGCTGAATGAACTGGAAATCTACAACTCTTCTTATATCTATCACAGAATTGAGGTCACTGAACAAATCACAGCACCAAAAATTAAAGAGACAAACAGGTGATACTGAGAATCAGAAATTATCAGAGCAGAAATCCATGAGAACAAACCTGAGGAACTAGCAGTGAGATAAGAAAACCCAAACTGGGGGGGGGCGGAGCAAGATGGCGGAGGAGTAGGAGACCTAGATTTCGTCTGGTCTCAGGAATTCAGCTGAATAGGGATCAAAACCATTCTGAACACCTACGAACTCAACAGGAGATCGAACAGGAGAGTAGCAACAACTCTCTGAACAGAGAAGCGACCACTTACTGGAAGGTAGGACGTGCGGAGAAGTGAATCCGAGGCGATATTCGGGAGGATAGACGGCGGGGAGGGGGCCTCCGCCGGCCGCTTCTGGCAAGTGATAGAGCCGCGGAGCACAAAATCGGACCTTTTAGAAGTTGGCTCGGCGGAGGGACGTCGCTGCAGTGGCTAAGCGGGGGGTGGAATCCTCCCGGGACAGTGTGGTCTCAGGACCCTTGGGGTCACAGAGAGACCGGGGGTGCCTGAGTGCGCCAGAGCTCCCAGGTATCAGAGCGGGGAAGCCGGCTGCAGAGACGGAGCAGAGTCGCGGGCTCTCAGCTCGGGGTTGCCATAAACTATGATCCACGGCCCAGTCGGGGCACAGCTCCTCCAGCAGGGACCCAACAAGCAGCAGATCCGGGGAGACTCCCCTTCCTTCCCGGGGAGGAGCGGTGCGGGAACGCACTGCAGGGATCTGCTGGGTTTGGAGACTCCATGCGGGGTCGGGTGCCAGAGATAGCAACGCTCGATCACAGGCCGGGTGAGCACGGAGTGCGGCCGGAGACCGGGGACACAGGAGTGACTGCTTTTCTCTGGGGGCGCACTGAGGAGCGGAGCCGCGAGTTCTCAGCTCCTCCGGGTGGAGATTGGGAGGCCACCATTTCTGCCCTGGTCCTCCAAAGCTGTACCGAGAGCTTGCAGGGAACAAAAGCTCCTGAGAGCAAACCCGAGCAGCTTCCTTAGCCCGGACCGACAAGGGCGGGGCAATTCCGCCTCCGGCAAAGACATTTGGAAACCACACCAACAGGCCCCTCCCCCAGAAGATCAGCACAAACAGCCAGCAAGCCAAGACCAAGTTGATCGATCAAGGAGAATGGGAGAACTCCAGCGCTAGGGGAATACTGCACATAGATTCATGGCTTTTTTTTTTTTTTTTTACCATGATTCATTATTTCATAAAAGTTAATTTTTGTTGACTGTTTTTTTTATTTTTCTTTTTCCCTTTTTCAACCAACATCTTATCAATCCCTTTTTAAAAAAAAAAAAATTTTTATTTTTATTTTTCATTTTTAGAGTCATATTTTATCCCTTCATAGTAGTTACCCTTATTTTTGGCATATATATATAAGTTGTTCTCTCTTTAAAATTTTGAGGTACAGTTTCTTCTAACAGATCAAAATATACCCTAAATCACTAGTGTATGGCTTTGTTCTAGTCTCCTGCCTGATCACATTCTCTGCTTTTTCATTTTTTTTTTCTTAAATCTTCTTTCCTTTTTCAAACAACTTATCTTACCAAGTCCTTTTATAAAATCTTTTATAATTTTCATCTTTACAGTCATCTTCCATCCGTTCATTGTATCAACCCTT